CAGTGGCATGTCCCTTTTCATTTCTCTTAAATGTCTTTTTGCTTGGTCTTAATGTATTCATTGAGGTATAATTAATAATCAATATATCTTAAGTGTTTAGCTCAATGAGTTCTGGTAATTGTACGTGATCTCATCAATATCTGAAACAAGAACTGGAATATGTCCATTCTGTCAGAGTTCCCTTGTACCCCTTTCCAGTCTATTCCCTGTCCCTTTCCCAGAAGCAACCAGTGACTTTTATCATTAAAGATTAATTCTGCTTTTTCGTATACTTCATATAGATGGGATATTTGTGTGTGTTTCTATCTTTCATTCCAGATAAATGTTTTTGAGATTCATCCATGTTTTTTGTGTGCCAGTAACTCATTCTTTGTTATTCTCTTCATATTTTGGTTGTTTCCATTTATATGCTATTATAAATAATGCTGCTATGAACTTTCTTGTGCAACTTTTTTGATTTTTTTTTTTTTTCAGTACGGGGGATCGAACTTGGGTTCCTGCACTTGCGAAGCAGGCGGCGGAACCACTGAGCTAAATCCCTGGCCCTCTCTCTTTTTAAAAGGGGATTGAACCCAGAACCTTTACACTGAGCTACATTCCCAGCACTTTTAATTTTTTTGGTACCAGGGATCAAACTTGGGACCTTGTGCTTGTGAGGCAGGCAGCAGAACCACTGAGCTAAATCACCAGCCCCCAGCACTTTTAATTTTGAGACAAGGTCTCACTAAATTGCCAAGTTACCCACGCTAGGCTAGGCTTGAATTTGTGATCCTGCTGCCTTAAGCTTCCCAAATTGCTGAGATTGCAAGCACGTGTGACCACTCCTGGTTTACCAATTGTTTTCTTATGGACAAAAGTATATTTGATGAAGAAGCCAATGAAAAACTTTAAATTCCCTCACTTGTTTTAAAGAGGTCAATGAAGGTATCAAGGTTTTCAATGAGTCACAGACAATGAATATGTTACATAAGAAATGCGATTAAAGTTCATGTGTCGGGTTACATGTTTTAACACGGAACACTGAGCAAATTTTTAAAAGTTCTTTTAAAAAAAGTTAATAATTTTTAAAAACCCAATAAACTGGGTGAGTCTCTTCTTTAAAGGGTATTAAGAAACAGAAAAGTGCTTTTATCGTCTAATAACTCATAAAGATATAACGGAAAATAGTTACTGATGCTTCAAAAAAAACAGACTTTAGTAACAGAAACTTTACTAATAGTCATGGTGGTCAAGTTCACTGGATGGACCACTGCTGTCCCTTCTTGGAAGAGGGGTCAGTTGGCATTCTCTAAGACACTGATAGAAACAGAACTCTTTCTTACACTTCCTAGCCCATTCACTTGTAGCAATTATTTCTAAAATCTAACGTTGAATTTTTCTTAAATTATTTTGTTTAGTTTTATCTTTTTTAGTATACTGCCTCTTCAATTATAAGATTGAAGAAGAGGTCCTTCACCTGGCTTCTGAAAATCAGTAAACCCCTAGAAGCTATATAAGGAGTGTTGTGTATTTTTCTAGTAAATCAGTAGCTCTCAACAGATTCTCAATGTGTTCCATATGATAAAGAATCACTAAAACCACTCAGGCATGGTGGTGCATATCTGTAATTCCAGCTATTTGGGAGGCTGGAGGCAGAAGCATTGCAAATTCAAAGCGAACCTGGATAACTTAGTGAGACCCAGTCTCAAAATATAAAATAAAAAGGGCCAGGGAAATAACTCAGTGGCAAAGCATCCTTGGATTCAATCTGTAATATATTTTTAAAAAAAGACCCAGTTTCTTTAGCATATGCTACTTGACAGATATAAAAAGCCAATTTTCAGTTACAATAAATAAAAGACACTTATTAAATAAAACAGTATAATTAATCTTGAAATCCAAGCAGAGATGAATTTTCTAAGTAGTGTTTTTCAAACTGCAAATTGTGCCCAATCAGTGGTTGGGTCTAGCTTTTAGGGGAAAAAACACTCATGACAGAATAAACTAGAATAGAATAGAAAATATCACAGTATGCATTGCATACAGTAAAGATGATTTTATAAAACTGTATTTCAGTTTTATATGTATATACATTGTAAGCTGGGTCATGATCTATAAAACCCACTGCTGTAACACCTGCTTTTGTTTTTTTCTATTTTGCGTCAAATCTCCTTGATATGCTATTTCTGTGGAAGCCTGGACCCAAAGAAGTTATCATGACAAAAATAATAATGATGATATGATGAACAATAAATACTGAGTATTCAATATATATTATTAATCTATAAAATTGGAAGAGTAAACTTAGATTTAGAGAAGTAAAATAATTTGATTTAGACCTAGCCTTGTCTAACTGAAAGCTCATGCTTGCCAGATGTGGTGGCACAGGCCTGTAATCCCAGCACTTGGAAGGCTGAGGCAGAAGGATCACCACAAGTTCAAGGCCAGTCTGTGCTACATAATGAGTTCAAGGCCAGCTTGAACTACATAGTGAGACCCTATCTAAACAAACAAACCATCAAGCCCATGCTTGCCACATCAAGTGCAGTCAGTAGATCTAGACAATCTGAAAAGGAGGTGATTCACTTGGTGATACATATGAATAGGGTCTATACTGTTATATTTTCAAGTGTAGACATCTGGATCTCTAGGTAAGATTTCCTGATTTACATATTGGCACAAATTAAAATAACTAAAAACCACTCAAAAAGAAAACAAAAACTACTTTGTAGCCAAACAAAACAGATCTATAGGGTAAATACAGTTAGCAGGCTATCAGTCTGCAACTCAGTTTTCCCTTTTGTAACATTGCTCAGACACACTAAACAGACTGATACAGCCTAGGTGAGACCATTATCAACAACAAGCTTTCAAAGAATAGCTAGTAGGGTAGAGGAAGAACCTCAAATTATATACATTTTTTTTTAAAAGAAGCTGCCTTTTTATTTTTTATTTTATTTTATTTTTTGGTACCAGGGATTGAACTCGGGTCCTTGCACTTGCACAGCAGGCAACGAAACCACTGAGCTAAATCCCTGGCCCCAAATTATATACATTTTTAAAGTGTGACTCTTTCATTTTGGGAGCTGTGGAACATGTACACTAGCTTTCTTTGGATAAGTAATTGCTACTGTGAGAAAAAAAAATCACAGTTAAGTCCTGAGAGACAAGCCTGTGTGGAGAGAAAAGTGATTTAAAATTAAGGGATAGGGCCAGGAATTTAGCTCAGTGCTTCTGCTGCCTGCCTCACAAGCGCAAGGACCTGAGTTCGGTCCCTGGTACCAAAAAAAACAAATAAAATTAAGGGATAAAGAAAAAGCATGTTTACATGATTTCTGGAGAAAATTTCCATTCAAGATGGTAAAAGAAAATCTATATAGATGATAAAATTACCTTTAGAAGGAAGTACTTACATGTGATTAACTCTTATAATATAACATTATTATTTCATAACTCCTTATACTTTTACAGGGGCATGGTATCTTTCATGCAGAAGAGCTTGTCAAGTTAGGCCATAAAGTAAAAAACTTTTACACAGTCAAAACTATCTTCAGCAATTTCTTAAAAAATCCCCACCTAATGGATTGGTTTTGTATATACCACACTTCCTCTCAAGTTCAGGACAAATTTACTTCATCATTGGAATAGATAACGTTTCTTCAGTTATGCATGATCAAAGTACAACTAAAACTCTCAACTGTCACTTAGGCCAGGTAGACTGAATGCAAAATATGGTTTTGTAGGAAAGGCAAAAATATGAAAAGCAAACTTCTGCTAACTACTAAAAAAAGATTATGGTTAAAATATCTATAAGAGGGCCGGGGAGTTGGCTCAGTGGTTCCGCTGGCTGCCTTGCAAGCGCAAGGACCCGAGTTCGATCCCCTGTACCAAAACAAAACAAAACAAAACAAAACAAAAATATCTACAAGAAAGAGGCACTGCGTAGCTTTAATTCTAGATCAGAAATTTTGGAAAATAAAAAGAACATTCCTTTGGGTATTTTCCCAAAAAATATAGGAACCCATAAATAAAGAATTAAGATACAGTTTAGAAAAATTTGAAAATGTTTTCAGTGCAGGATCTGTAACAGATTAAATAAGTCTTTAAAAAGCAGTTCTTTCTTAGGGAAAGAATGGACTGTTCTTAGTAAAACAGTTTCTACTAACCTGAGTGCTAACCCTAATTGTGGGCCTAGAGAATCAATTTGCCTAATTCTACCTTGAGGGAGAGCTAAAGCTATTTTACTTCTGACCTAAATGTAGCCTCAAGTTTATTTGTTTTCTGGTATGTAAATGTAATGCAACAGAGAGGAATTTCAATGTTTTACTTTTCATTAAAAGTTAACAGGGCCAGGGATTTAGCTCAGTGGTTCCGCCGCCTGCCCTGCTAGCGCAAGGACCCCAGTTCGATAGCCGGTACCCCCCCCCCCAAAGTTAATAAACTGACATAGAGTTCAATCATGAATCATTTCACCATGACCTAATCATTTTTAGAAAAAAGGAAATTAACATGCTTTTGAACTTGTAAGGCTAAAGTTCTAATAAATGTACATTTATTCAATGAAGGCATTTATTCAATGGAATTCAGAGAATTAAGAACTAGTGATTACAAACCAGTAATTTTAATGGCAATCTACAATCTCAGTGACTCTAATAATTGTGTCATTGTCACAGTGAACACATACTTACAGAAAATGTGTTCTCTGGTTGAATCAATCAATGCCATAATAGTGGTAGGATTATTTAAAAGAAATTACCCTATACTATAATCTGGGGACAGGAATTACAAAAAAAACACTGGGAAAAAATGGATAGTTCATATTCACCATTACAACATGTTAATTTTAATAAGCAAGCAGGGAGGGTCCTTGGAAATTAAGCAGGTTAGCTCACTCTAAGCAAACATTGGTTGGTAACATAAACTGATTCTCAGAAGTTAAAAAATAATCAGGTCATTAAATGTCTGCTAAGTCAATATAGACTTTGTAAGGCTTTAGTGGTTCTTCAGAAGTCATGACTTACCTGTATGGGCTTGCATTGGTATAGGAATCGGGCTCTTGACACATGAGCCTGTGGGTTGGACTGAAGGCCTATATATGCCCACAACACCTGGATCTCCAGAGAAACTGGTATGAAACAGCAGGAAGTACAATTCATGGCCTGCATAAGGTAAAGAAACATCTGCTTGAATGGCCTGATGGTTGCCTATAGTTATTCATGATGCATTACTGAGGCATTATTTCTTAAGTATTATACAATAATACAGGAGATAGTATGGACCATATTATTGTTCTTTACCTTAAAAAATTACATTTGAAAATAAAAATTATCAACACAGAGATTAACAAAATGTGCAATGTTTGTAAGAAATGCTCAGTGAGTGATGCATAATCATAACTGTGAAATGTCAAAAGAAATAGCCATTTCTGGCTCAGGATGGCTTTGTGGAACCTGGATGAGTAATATAACTAGGAAAATAATGATTGAAGGCAAATTTAGGTAGAGATATGGCATATAAAAAGGTGTACAACTACACAGAACATTCTGCAGGAAGTGAAAGAACACAAAATGTTTCAATTAAAAAAATAAAAATCATATATCTTTTTTGACCACAACAGAATAAAACTAGATATGAATAAGAGGAACTTTATAAGTTATACAAATACATGGACCTAAATATGAGCCATCCAAAAAAAATCAAAATTTTTTAAATTTCTTGAAACAAATGAAAATGGAAACTCAACACACCAAAACCTATGGAATACAGGAAAAGCAGTTCTCAAAGGTAAGTTCACAGCAATGAATGCCAACATTAAAAAAAAAAAAAAAAAGATTTCAAGTAAACAACCTAACAATGCATCTTAAGGAACTAGAAAAGTAAGAACAAACCAAACCTAAAATTAGAAGAAATAACAAAAATTAGAGCAGAAATAAGTGGAGACCAACAAATACTACAAAAGAGCAACAAAATTAATAGTTTAAAACACACACACACACACACACACACACACACATATATATATATATATATATATATATAAAACCAACGAAACTTTAGCTAGACCAACCAAGAAAAAAAAAGACCCAAATAAATAAGATCAGACATGAAAAAGGAGTCATACCATGGAAATATAATAGAATATCAGGGACTATTCTGGACAACTATACACCAAAAAATTAGAAAACCTAGAAGTGGTAAATTTCTATACACATATAATCTACCCAAATCGCACCATGAAGGTACAGAAAACGTGAACAGAACAATAATGAGAAAAAAGACTAAGTCAGTAGTAAAAAAAAGTATCCCAACAAAGAAAAGCCCGAGACCACATGGTTTCAGTGCTAAATTCTATAATTTTTTTTTTTTTTTGTGGTACCAGGGATTGAACTCATGACCTTGCGCTTGCAAAGGCAGTTGCAGGGCCACTGAGCTAAATCCTCAGCCCAATTCTATCAATTTTTAAAAGGAGTACTAACACCAGTTCTCAAACTATTCCAAAAAGCTGAAGGAAAGGAGATTTTTTTAAACTCACTCTTGAGGTCAGCATTATCCTGATAGCAAAATTAGACAAGGACACAACAGAAAAAGAAACTAGACTAAAATCCCTGATATATGTAGATTCAAAACTTCTCAATTTAATCTGCCAGCATATCAAAAAGATCATTCCCATGAGCAAGTGAGATTTATTCCAGGGATGAAAGGATGCTTCAACATATGAAAACTAATAAATGTAACAGATCAATGCAATAAAAGAGAAATCTATATGGTCCTCTTGATGGATGGAGAAAAAGCATTCAATAAAATTCAACTTCTCATGATAAAAACTCTCAACAAATTAGGTATAGTAGAAAAGCATCTCAATATAATAAAGACTATATATGACAAACCCACAGTCAACGGCCTACTGAACAGGGAAAAGCTGAAAACATTTCTTCTATGATCTGGAACAAGAAAAGGATGTCTACTTTTACCACCCTTATTCAACACAATACTGGAAGTCTTAGCCAGAACAATTAGGCAAAAGAAAGAAAAGGCCTACAAACAGCAAAGGAAAAAGTAAAATTATCCATTCACAGACAGTACAATTCTATATATAGAAAAACCTAATGACTTCACCAAAAGATTGTTAGAAGGCTGGGGATTTAGCTCAGTGGTTTCGCCACCTGCTGTGCAAGCACAAGGACCTGAGTTCTATCCCGGTACCAAAAACAAAAAGAAAAGAAAAGAAAAGAAAACAAACAAAGAAACAAAAGACTGTTAGAACTGGTAAATGAATCACTAGAATTGAAGGATATCAACTCAATATACAAAAATCAGTAGCATATTTATATGCCAATAGTAAACTTGTTGAGAAATCAAGAAAACAATACAATTCATAGTAGCTACAAAAATTAAAATAGCCAGGAATAAATTTAACCAAGGAAGTGAATAAACTCTATACACAAACACAAAAATGGGAAGACCTCCCATAATCATAGATTTGAAGAATTAATATTGTTAAAATGTCTATAGTACTCAAAATGATTTACAGATTCAATGAAACCTCTTATTAAAATACCAATAGGATTTTTCACAAAAATAGAAAAAACAATCCTAAAACTTACACGGAAACACAAAAGCAATCTTGAACAAAAAGAACAAAGCTAGAGGCATCACAGTACCTGATTTCAAGATCTACTAAAGGGTTAAGTTAACCTAGAGAGCAAGGTAATGGCATAAAAATCAACACATATATTGATGGAATGGAATACAGAATTCAGAAATAAATCCCCCTATCCACAGCCAACCAATTTTCAACAAAGATGCCAAAAGTATACATTGGAGAAAGGACAGCCTCTTCAATAAAAGGTGCCAGGGAAATTCATATACAGAATAATAAAACTTGATCTCTGTCACTCACCATACACAAAAATACACTTGAAATAGATAAAAGACATGAAACTACAAGAGAAAACAGAGGAAACACTTCAAGATATTCAAGATATCAATACAGGCAATGACCTATATATAGGACCAGAACCCCAAAGCATAGGCACCAAAAGCAAAATAAACAAATGAGATTACATCAAACTAAGGAGCTTCTGCACAGCAAAGGAAATAGAATCTATAAGGAATTTAAAAAACCGAAGTATCCAATTAAAAGCTGGGTAGGGTCGGAGATTTAGCTTAGTGGTTCTGCTGCCTGCCTCGAAAGCACAAGGTCCTGAGTTCAATCCCCGGTACCAAAAAAAATAAGTAAATAAAATAAAAACTGGGCAAATGATCTGAATATATATTTCCCAAAGAAGAAATACAAATCGTTACAAGTACATGAAAAAAATGCTCAACATTACTAGACATCAAAGAAATGCAAATCAAAACTACAATGAGATTCGCCAATAAAATGGCTATTATCAAAAAAAACAAGAACAAAAAATTACTGGCAAGAAATCGTTGAAAGGGGAACTCATATACTGCTGGAGGGAATGTATAAATAGTATAGCTCTTATGGAGAACAGAATAGAGATTGCTTAAAAAGCTAAAAATTGATGTACCACATGGACTGGCTATCCCACTTCTGGGTATATATCCAAAGGCTCATCAAAGAGATTCTTACACTCCCCTTTTATTGCAGTATTATTCACAATAGCAAACATCTGGAATTAACTAGGTATCTATTGATGCATGAATGATAAAGAAAATATTTTATATATATAAACGTATATAATGTTACTCATAGTCTATATCATAATATACATGGTATTTAATAATGTATATGAATATTATGCAGCCACAAATAGAATGAAGTTCTTTCATTTGTGGTAAGATGAATGGAACTGGGGGACATTATGCTATGTGACATAAGCCAACTAGTAACACAGGTTCATAGTGAAAGCTTAAAATATTGAATATAAGAGAATAAAATAATGATTACTAGACACTAGGAATGGGGGTGCTTAGTGGAAGACTAGATAACCAATACCAAAATACTGTTATACAGGAGAAATAATTTCTAGTATTCTATACTATAGTAGGGTACCTATAGTTTATAATAGCCTATTATATATTTTATGAAGAATTTGAAGAGACAAGCTCACAGGATCCAAATACAAATGAGATGGAAATGTTCCTTATCCTGACTTCATCAGCACACACTGTATACTTGTATTGAAATACCATACCATATTTCATACATATTTATAGTTATTGCATGCTAATTAAAAAGAAAAAAGAGGAAGGCATGGTGGTACATGCCTATGATCCCAGCACTCAGGAGGTTGAGGCAGGAGAATTCTGAGTTAGGGGTCAGTCCAGGTTAATAATGAGTTCAAGAACCTGTCTCAAAGCAAAAAAAAAAAAAAAAAAAAAAAAAAATATTTTAAAAAATGCATGCAACTAGAACAGCACAGGATGCCAACGAAGGACAGTCACTATTAATTTAAATAATTACTGAGTATAAGTATTTCCTTTGGGCAAGGCACTGGCCTTGAGCAGACCACGTGGCTGAAACAAGGAATTAAACACAGGAAAGAAGATGCTAGAAGGTTAGATCATGAAGTCTATCCAAGTAGTCTGTTTTGAAGGTATCAGAAAACCATTAAATTTCTAGGATAGAAACATGGCATACTTAAAGCAGTACTCTAGGAGGATTAATTGCAAGATGCAGGAAAGGTGTACTACTTTATATGCTTTCTATTCTAACCTATTAATATATTTTTTATGTAAATGTAGAAACAGAAAATTTTACAACCACAACAAAGAACCCAATTTTGAACTCATGAAAGAATCTGTGGTGACCACACATTTAAGAATGTAAGGGAATATTTGAAACATATGATGTGATTTTTGAACCACAGATATCTCTATATTTTGTACCTTTAAATTTTTTTGAGAAAGGAAAATAGGTTTTAAGCCTAACCTGAAATACTTCAAATGGGCATGATTTCTTACACTGTCCTTTGTATGACAAACACAATTTCTATGGAAACAAAGCTAGTTTTAACCTTGTCATCCATAATTTGCAAAGACAGAAAATGAATCATCGTCAGAAAGTGTATTTCTCTCCTTACTGAAACACTATAGCTTCTGTTGAGGATACTGGTCCACTCTCCTTTCCGATCTGGGTCAGCATTACCAAAGATGGCAACATGCTCTGGTCTGGGGCTTCCATGAAGAATTTGATAAATCTTGTTCTGCAACTGGCTACAGTCCACTTCCTTCAGCCTATAATCAAACACCATGGAGGTTGATGTCCAGTACTAATAACAGTGTAACAACATTAGTATATTAATCCAAACATTAGAAATAACACTATGAAACAGATTACAGGAAATAATTCTGAGTAGGTATTAAGGGCTGTCAGAAACTCCTAGCAATATAGTATTATTTAAAAGCTATTCCTACCATTTTCTGAACTTTCATATAAAATATTAAAAAGTTACCACATCATCATACTATCTAAAAGCAGACACAAAATTGTAGGGAATGTTGCAGAAGCAAAGAGTTACCTGAACTTGCATCCAGATATTGTGTTCATTCCAAACTGTACTTCATGTCTTTTAACAGAGCAAATTCCATTTCCCTGGCTCTGCAAAAGGGTCATCTCAGGTAGAAAAGTGATGGTTAAGGAGATTGTAACAGATAAAGAAAATAGGCACAACTGGAAAATTTATGCTGTTTAATACTACTTACATTTTACTAAATATCAAGATATTTAAATCACAAATTTGTAGTTTAAAATACAGAGACAATTACTGTTTTCCTAAAATCAGATAACCATACATTAGAATATCTCATTAAAAAAAAATCAGGGCCAGGGATTTAGTTCAATGGTGCCCAGCCTGCCTCGCAAGTGCATGGTCCTGAGTTCAATCCCCAGTACCACAAAAAGCAAACAAACAAAAAAACTACATAAATTGAAAATTAAAAAAAACCAACAATGAAAAGTCATTGCAATCTTTACATTTAGCCAGTCTAATATTAAAGTTTTAAAGCTTTTGGTGTTCTGTGGCATCAGTAAAGTTTGGTAAAGAAAGTGCTATTTTAAATACTTTAAAAATGAGGGAAATTCAAGAATTGGAAATTCCAGACTGCTGCATTTATTAAGCTACAAAAGGTCATCCAGCTCGAAATAGGATACAGAGTGACTTATATCACCAGTTAGAACCAACACTGGCTTCCCAACAATATAGCCAGGATTACCACTTCTAGGAACAATAACAGAAGCAGCTGTGCTTTGTTGAAATGCCTGCAGAAAGAGTGAAGAATAGTCAGATGTGAGAAGCATGTTTTCCCACCACATACTGCCTAGCTTCATTCGTTATCTTTCTTTAAGGCAATGCAATAAATGAGCTGCACTGAACAATTTGGCTTCCTTCCAATGTAGCACTTAGCAATTTATATTCCAGTATTTCCTTTTTTAGTCCCTTCACTAAGTAAATCCTGAGTAAGCTGAATGCTGAAATTCATTATATGCTAATTTAGAAGCAAGGATCTACACCAAGGAGCCTTTAACCTTTTTCAAAAGTTAACTATCTCAAGTTAACTTTTCTCAAAGGTTACTATCAATTTAGGGGTATGTTCAGTCTGGCTGAGATCAGAGGAATTTACATGTAATTAAAAATACATATTAATGAAATACAGATGCTCCAGAGATGAACTATAAGACATGGGACTTAGCTGGTCAGAGTTGAGAACTCTCCTCAAAAAGAACTCTGAGAACTCTGTTCAAAAGAGAAGAGGTATAAAAAAGGCAAAAGGTAGTGATTAAGACTAGAAACAGGTTCAGTGGGGAAGTAAAATGATGTCTGTACAAAAATACAAGAAAATCTAGTTAAAGAGTCCAAGATATTGGCTGAGTTTATGATTCAAAATGACTAAAAAAAGTTCTGATTTTCTTCCTCCCCCTCTCCTCTGTACTGGGGATTGAACATAAGGCCTTCTTCATAAAGTACTTCCCCAGCCCTTTGAAATGGAGTCTAGCTAAGCCACTAGGTTGCCCTGGCTCAGCTTGAACTTTCAGTCTTTTTGCCTTAGCCTCCCAGAGTGCTGAGATTACAAGGCATCATGCCACTTTGCTAGAAGCCAGACAGTCAAGAGATAATATTAATAAACCAGTGTTGAACAACTATTACTTATAGTTAAATTAAGAAATATTAAATGTCAACACCCCATTTAGCAGACTGAATTAGACTTCATATTCTTTTCTTTTGAGGTCTTACTGTGTAGGTTCAGGCTAGCTTTGAACTTACTATGTACCCTGGGCTGGCCTCAAACTTGTAGTGATCCTCCCGCTTCAGCCTCCCAAGTGCTGGGATTACAGGGGTACCCCAGGTGCTACCCTACCCAGCTCTGGACTTCATACACTTACACTATTTTGCATTCATTACAGAAGCAGAGAACTATTTCTAACCAGATATTTTTTTGCCCTCATGAACCCCTACAGAAGGGCTCTAACCCTAAAGTGAATGATGAAGTCTTGCTGTAAAGAAACAACTGGCTCTACAGTCAGGTTGATTTGTCTAAAACTGACAGCAACTTTCTGGATTCCAAAAGTTCCATTGGTTTCTATCTCATAGGTGACCTGAAATATAAAAGAAGAATCAATTAATAAAATTATTGGACTGATTATGCTTAGGACAGAAGATTTTCTGTCTGTCTTAAATATGGCAAACACAAATACCATAAAAAGATAAAAAATGACTTTATATTGATTTCATTTGCACATGAAAGAAAAAAAAAAGACCAAAATGGTCCTTTGGAAAAGTTTATGGAAGAGATAAGTTTAAGAAAAGTAATTTTTGACTATAGATAGAGGAAGGCAAGTACTAGAATCAGAGGCAGAGGTACACATGGGACAGAAACCAAGGTTACTTGGCTCTCGCATTGTCTGAATATAAATATACTACCCGGGGGTACTGGAAGTCATAAGCAATTGAAAGTAAACTTAAGTTTCTGAGTGCAGTCTGTAAAGTGACACTTTAATTCCTACTTCTCTAGGTTAGAATGATTAGAAGAGAGAAGGACAAGTTGATTAATCTATTTCACACTGTTAGATGATACTGATTTTGTCAACAAAAGAAAAATGTGATCATCCAGTAACAGGGTAACAGAACAAGAGCCATTAATTACTTTAATATTATGAACCTGAAATACTGGAGGATGGTAGCAATGGACATAAGTTAAATATTACAGGGAGAAAGGTGAGGCTGAACTCTTAACATCTTAGTTCGAGGTGAGTTCTATGAGGCTGAATTCTTGACATGTTAAATTTTAGGAAATACGTAAGACTTCAGGTGGGGTCAGTCTAGAACTTTGTGGAAGGTGAAACCTTACGGCAATACTGATCAATATGTATCAGTCTAGAATCTGAAATCTACAAGCCTACCTGGGAAACAACATTCTGACAAGTGTTCCCAGCCAAAAGAGGAGGACTGGCCTGTGAGGCAAGTGTTACAGGAACCTGGAACTGGTAAAGGAAAGAGGCAAATCAACCAAAATTGAGAGGTACCTTTTGTCTTTTAGCTATATCTTATACCAAAATGAGTATTTTTCCTTCCTAGACTACCATTTTTCCCCTCTCTTTCCACTGCCAGCCTGTAACTTAAACTCAAAAGTCATTCTAAATCAGTACATCTCAAAACATACTTCTAGAACACTAATTCTATTAGATATAAAATAAGGGCTTCACGGTCACACACATATAGAAATACTGTATTCAACACTCCCCTCTTAGATATTAACAAGGGTGTCTAGAATTAAGACCCTAAGAAGCCCACCTTAAGTGTAGTGTTCAACTTTATTTAACTCAATGTTTTCCAGATTTACTGAACACCACATTAATCTTTACTTCATATGAATCTATTAATCACATTGACCACTTTATTTTAGATCCATACTTGCCCATGCTACATCACCTATTTCTTTCTCCACTGTTACAATCTAAACTGAAATTGCCTCAGATGCCAAGGGGCCAACCAAATATTCTTCTTCCTTTTTCCTAATAAATGGCAACATACCTTCATATTCTGCACATGTGTCATACCTTGTGGGACCTAGAATAAGTGAAGAGTGAAGACATGAGTATGCATATACCTTTCATAAAATCACCAAGGGCTGGTGGTTTCATATTATCACCAATATGCTTTGATGGTGGTGGCGGTGGGAGGTAAACATATTAGAGTGCTTTGCTTTTTCTTCCACTTCACTATTCCTTATATTAATATGCCAGCAACAGCTAGATTTGAGATTGGATAGACTTGACTATCTATCCTGAATGAGCTCTACTGAATAGTGAAAGCAAGAAGTTTGGTGAAATAAGTGAGATCTCAACCTCCTCCTAATCTTCCCTAAGTCAATCCTATTAGCCAGGAAGGTGATAATGTCTTATCCTGGATATATACTTAGGCACTCTACCTTTTATGTAGTTCTTGGAGATTCTGATTTCAGTGATGTCCCACAATAGTGGGGAGCATGTTGATTTCAAACTTACAATGGTGACAGAGTGGGGAGAGAGGGACACCCACCTTGAAGACTGTGAAGTTATAGTAAGAGGCAGCATCCAGGGCTGGATCCAAGGTACAGCTACTTGCCAGGTTCTTGAAGACATGAGTGCAGGTTGTACTTTTACTCTCTAAGAAACCTAAAAACACAACGAATTAAGGCCGTGGAAAATAAGGAAGCATATTTTAAATTAACCAAAAAGGCTGGTACTTCTGCCTGGACTCACCTGCAGGATTGCGGTCAGCACAAACTCCCCCAGCTCCCACTCCTGCAGGCTGCCTCAGCAAGCTTATTATAGACCACTTGGGAAAGTAAGTCAGAATGGGGTCCCCAGCCTGAATAAGATACAGGAGACATTTTTTCCATAGTAAAACTGGATTAAACTACATCAGAAAAGAGAAACGGAAACAAAGATTAACTCAATGGCTTCTTTACATGGATAGCACTGCCCTCCAAAAGAGATGACAATGGTTTACCTATTATAGAATGATACCACAAAGATACCTTGCCAGTTGTCTGCTGTGAGGGAAAAAACAAAAAACGAAAAACAGTTCCATCCCCTTCCTCAGGCTCACCTTGTAAAAAGGCGGTGGTGACTGGGACTGCAATGTTGAAATGAATGAATCGCCTCCAAACTCTGCAGCCAGGGCTTGGAAATTGGTTGCATTGACCTTTTGGAGCTTCTGGAAATAGTTTAATTTTGCTAAAATGTTTTAAAAAGAAAAGTTTAGATAAAAGAAAAACATTTATTTTTAAATATTTGGCATGCCAGGTAACTGATTTTAAATTTTTTTTCAGCTTACATGATGATTATATTCATTGTGGAGAGTTGGTATACATCTCTCCACATCTAAATTTTTTTTTCATCTCATTCTCCCCCCCCCCCCACCTCTTGGTCTCTTTCCCTTTTACAAAAAATCTATTAGGTAACTAAGTTTTAAAAAGGTATCTACTGAAGCATAATATACATGAGGGGATGTGTATGAATACACTAAAGTATAAACTCAAAGAATTTTTACAGATTCACATACTATTTTACCACCACACAGATCAAATCATACAACATTTTCCTAGAAGATTCCAAATCAATACACCACTGCTAGAGACAATAATTCAGATTTCTATCACATCTTAATTTATTTGTAACCTGTAATTGAAAACAGTATTAAGACCTAATGAAGAAAAGGATCAATGAATGCCAGTCCATTCCAAGTCTAAGAATAGCTAAGAATAGGTATGATTAGCAATTTGTGATGAAAAAAGGACTAGTACTCCTATTTGATCCACATCAGATTAGTCTCTGATACAAGATGATATTGTTTCCATAAGAATATAGTAAAGTTAGCGATATTTGATCTTTTCTTCCTAATCTTCCTGTTTCCTCTACACTTCAACTAACTAGTTCTATAGTGTACTAATATATCCAGCTCTCAGTGGTAACTTGCTTCACAAACTTAATTTTGCTCTACGATTTTGGAAAAGAGGCCATGTTTGGGTTTGTGTGAGAAAGATAGCCATGGTCATGTTTGTCACCTGAGGCAGAGTTTGCAAACGAAAACAAAATTTTGTCAAATAATTCTGTTTGCAAACCAAACTGCAAACAAAAGCACTTGTGAACTGAGGTACCACTACATATAGATTAATTGGTGTTATTTATGTTCCCTCATAAATTTCTACAGTCAAGATTTCAGATATCCAAAAAAGGTATTTTCTCTACCAATTTTATACTTTCTATAGATCTATCCAAGTGCCTGCATCCATTTCTTATTTATTTATCTTTTTTGGTACCAGGGATTGAAGTCAGGACCTTGTGTTTGGGAGGCAGGTGGCGGAACCACTGAGCTAAATCCCTGGCCCTGCAGCCATTTCTTTACAGCAAGCACATCACAACCAAGAGAGAGATGTAGGACAGCAGATGATAGATAGCACTCTGCTTTACTACTCCAAATTGTCTGCTAACCTGAAAAAAGAACATAGCATAAACATGTTCCATGCTCCTTTCCTTCATATAATTATGGTCACTTGGACAGAGTCAAAAAGGTAACCATACCTGAGTCACTAAAAGCTAATGAGGAGTCCACATTAAATAAACTTGACCTTTATCCTCCATAATCACATCTCAATTATTTGACTTTTTAGTCAAATTAATCCATATTATTGGTCAGTTGAAGTTTAGAGGAAAAGGAAAGATTGAGGAGAAAAGATCACATATTTTCTGTAACTTTATCATATTCCTATAGAAATAGGGCCGGGGATTTAGCTCAGTGGCATAGCGCCTGTCTGGCAAGCATGAAGTCCTGAGTTCGATCCCTGGTACCAAAAAACAAACAAACAAACAAACATATTCCTACAGAAACAATACCATCTTGTATCAGGAACTCATCTGGTGTGGACCAAATAGGAGCATTATCAAGATTTTTTTTTCATTACAAATTGCTAATCATACCCATTCTTGGCCATCAGAGATTTGGAACTGCCTTTTTCATACTAAACATGAATCCACTCTTCAGCCTCATTCAAGGAAAGTTCTTTGATATAATGATCCACTATTACTAATAGAAATAGCCACATTTCTCAGGTGTTGTTGGGGAACCGACGGTCCAGGATCTGTGTGCAGGATAGTACGGGAAGCAGGAAGGGAGATTACAAAAAGGAAGCACCAGTTGTATGTTATAGTAATGGCCCTACAACATGCTCATAGGACTGGAATTTAGATAGCAATAGAAAATTTGGAAAGGAAAGGGCATGCTTAAAATGAAGGATTCATGGGGGCAGAGGTATATATAGCACAGTGGTAGAGCACTTGCCTAACATGTACAAAGCCCTGGGATAATTTCCTAGCACTACAAAAAAACCAAAACAAAACAAAACAAAAAAAGGAAATAAATTCACCTTGCTCCCTTTATCCTTTTACTTCTTACAATCTAAATGATTGGGCCAGGGATTTAGCTCAGTGGTTTCATCGCCTGCTGTGCAAGCACAAGGATCCGAATTCAATCCCTGGTACCAAAAAACCCCAAAAAACCCGTGACAATCTAAATGATCATGGGACTCCTGATAACTGTTTTCAAATTCAAGTCTTCCCAAGCCAATTTTCTGAGAACAATATATTTTTGCAATTTCTTTTCTAAAATCAGATAAATCAGTTCATTGACCTTCAGGATTTAAGAGACAATTACATTTATTTTGCGTGGGGACATTGCTTGATAGACATTTTTAAAAGATACATTAACTTTGTATCTTTAGAAATGGTATAGTTACCACTAGCAAATTTCTAAATCCATTAAAATACCCCCAAAATAACCACTGTGTATCTTTACTGCACTCTACAGTTACAGAACACTTTCACATCCAGGCCAATGATATAAATTTCTCATATTATATTTGGAAAAATGAGCTTAGAAATAAGAAATTTGCTCAAGTCTCTGCAGCTTGTAAGAAAATGTCAGGACTAAAATCCTAGGCTAATGTTCCTTTCCCTACCCTATTGCTTCATCAAAAAAAAAAACAAAACCAAGGTTGGCATAGACTCATTTGTCAAAAACATTCATTATTTAGTGCCTACGATGTGTCAGACACTGGGAACTCAATGAGTGCTGTCATGGAGACTGTAACAAGTATGGGAGATAGTCTGTGATTAACTGAGAGGGATGATTAAAAATACTGAAATTAAAGTTCTAGGGCTGGGGATTTAGCTCAGTGGTTCCGCCGCCTGCGTGCAAGTGCAAGGTCCCCAGTTTGATCCCTGGTACAAAAAAAAAAAAAAAATTAAATAAAATCGAATAAAGAAAGAAAGAGAGTTCTATATGAGTCATCTGCTCCACAGCCTGTAGGGCCTAAGAAATTGCAAATGTTATCTAAGGGGTTGGGGGTATGAGTGAGCAGACAAGGGGATAGAAAGAAAAAGGGTGATAGAGATTCAAAGAACAAAAACGAAAAGTTTAGAAATGAAATGGCTAAAGACAAAGCCATTTCTCAATAACATACAAAATAATAAGAGCTAACACATTTCTACTCACAGTTGTTCACGTGTACACAAAATTGCCTGATGCCATTTGAATCCATGAAAACTCTGGAAGGAAATGGGGAATTACTCCTGAAGATAAGAGAGTTGTCTACACACATCCAACTTGAAGATCTGTGAGGAAAATGGATGAGGATATATTTAGGAGACAAATGTAGGTCTAAAGAACAGTGTTCTACTGATGTCACATGCCAAAGACAAGCTCCTTGGGAAGCTACAGTGCAACACCCAACGTCTACTGGATGCCCTGTTCTAAAGAATCAAATGAAAGTCACACCTGGAAAAAATCAAGGGGGCAATCTAAAAGTGGAGGTTAAGTTAAGAAGTATTAAAGCTAACTTCTGGTACTTCCAAATATATCCATTGTAGGCCCTAATCCCCTTCAGGATTCAAACTGAGCAACCTAGTTCACCTTACGCTGCCCGGAAGGCAGAAGGAGAAAACTGTCCTCGGATGGAGAAGATGGCAGTCTCTGTCGCAGCAGCAGTTTAGATCGCAGACACCAAGAGTCAAATCACAAATACATGTCGATAAGACTATGAAAGTACAAGAAAAAGTAAAGTGCGATGAGGATTCCCAAACACTTCCAAGTACTATGAAACTTTTCTTCCGTTTTTGCTTTATGGCAAGTCAACTTTTTTCACAGAATTTCAGATCTGAAATCAATAGCTCCCATCTCGCAACCTTGCCCTCACCTGGAAAGAGGTCCACAGTCTTACTATTCTCCGGCACCAAAGGGGTCACAAGAGTAGAGCCCACCGTAGAGAGCCCAGGGACGTCCTGGGTAGTTGCAGGCCCCACTGCGGAGGATTGCAGAGTCCCTCCCTGCGTCACTGGTTTCAGGACTGAAGAGGTGGACGCTGCCTCTGATGGGAAGGAAGAGGGCTGAGGACTGGTGCCCTCGGGGAGCATCAGGAAGAACACCAGCAGCAGCACAAACTGCGAGGTGGACATGAGGCAGTTGGGGCCCTGGAGGGTCCGACGTCTAACTGCGCGGGTCCAGACGCTGCTAGAGAATGGGTGGGTGGAGTAGCACAACGTCTGACGTTAAACATCTCTTCATTGGCTCCTGGCGATCGCGGGAGAGATCTTTGACCAATAAGAAGCAGGGTTGTTACAGCTATCTCAACGTCCTTAGGCCTGGCCACGCACTGCCTCCATCACCTGGCAACCGCCGCAAGCTACGGAGCCTTGCTGCATCTCCCCGCTAGATGACAGCAGGAGTTCGGCGGACCGACCACAACCTTGAGTCTCTCGCAGACATCAGGGCCCAGAGGAGTGAGTCTTTCCTCGGGGCAGGAAAGACCGAGAGGCCGGAACTAGAATTGCAGATCTTTTTCACTCCGGATTTCTATGGTGAGAAACTGTTTCTATTGGAAGGATAATGATCTTAGGGAGGAAAATATAAACGTTAAAAGGTTTTTATAGTCACATACCTTAAAAATGTCGCCCCTAAATATAATATTTTTGGGAAATAACGTTAAGAGTAGTGCTTCTTAAATTTTAATATTGAGAAATTTCTGTTCAAAACTTAAATAAATACATCGTATTGTTAAAGGTGGATTGAATATTACTTTAAGATAGAGAAGGAGATTAGGAATAAGGAAATAGAGTAGGGAAAAGTGGGAAGAAAGAGAAAGTTAAGAACGAAGAAGCATTTTCTAGATGAGAAGAAAATAAAATGCAGGAATAGAAATAGCAACTGATGGAGAAAACACTAATATTTTGCCATTATAGAGGTAAATCATAAAACTCTTTAGAATGCTTTTGCTTTCTGCAAAGTAGCAAGCCTCTTAACAAGTCTGTAAAACAGAAATATTCAGTCAAATTTTCTGCATCCTTGAAACCAACCAGGCTGTATCTGCACTGTCCATAGGCATATGTGGCGATTCCACACTTGAAATATGCCTATGTGACTAAGGAGCTAAATTAATTTTACATTTTAATTCAAAGTTAAATAACCCCAGGTGACTAGTAGCTATTATTTTTTTAAAATTAGTTGTATTGGTACATTTTAGGTATACAGTATAATGACATTCATCCTTAGAAATTTGCACCTTTACATAATCTCTCTTGGTTCTTATTTCTTCCCCATTCCCCTGCCCTCCCTTGAACCCCTCCACCCCTCTCTTTTTAGAAAGACTTTGTTTCCATTTTTTCATTTTCTCATTAATTCCATTCCCTTCTTTCCTTTCCCCTACCCCTCCCACTTCCCCTTCCCCTTTGCCC